GCTTTTGGATGCAAAACATTCTTCTTCGGGTTGAATGTCTTGCATTCAAAAGCTTGTCTAATCCTAGCCCAACTAGGCAGTTGGTCCAATAAAAGAGATCATCCCAAAAAATCCTTGCCTCTTGCACAATTCCCGAACCATCGCAGCTACATCACTTTAACACTATCGCTGCTTTCTATATTAATTTCAAGTGGCTAATTAAGACTGCAATCATACTGGGCAACAATCAGCATTTTTATTGGGGATCTTAGTGTGGATGCCAAAGAAGGATGAGCCTTGTGACTAAACCGTCCTTATGCCCTGGAAATCACTTCAGATTAGAGCTGAGATCCATTAGGGTCCACAAAGTATATAGTCCACAAAGAATCAAGCCCTCTACTCCTCTTGGTGAAAGCAGAAACATTTCCATGGAATGAAAAGAATCCAGTATGTTTCTATCTGATGCAGCATATTCAACCTGGGTGTCAGGAAGCAGACTTATTTTTCTGACTTCCACATCTCATGTGTTAGGTACTAGAACTGTGGCTGTTCTTTTATGATTTCCTTCCTGCACAAGAAGCAATCACTAATTTTAGACTAGTATGTTATAAAAGCATTTTGGTTGTCAGATACCTTGTAGCTGCTAAAAAAATCTTGCTTAACAAATTTACCTCTTACTAGAGTACTCTAAACATTAAAAAAAGATAACAGTTGTCATGGATCTGCATTGGGTGCTACATTAATAGGAAATGAATACATGCCATGTACGACTGCTTTAGCTTCCAGTCTAGAGACAAGTGAATAACAGCATCAATTTTTTTGTGGTGAATTTTGTGAAAAGCACTTACAGTGCTTAGTACAAACAGAGAAAAACTTTTACCACTCACTGTATTGTGAAAAATAGCACTTTCTAGGTGCTACTGCAAAAGAAAAACATAGAAGTAAATAACCTTCCCTGTATTTTTGCAGATAGCTTCATTTTGTATCCTGAAACATTTATCTGAGCTTTGCCAATATTATTACACTCACACAAAATCAGTAAGTCTTCCATTTAATTTTTCTATTTAGGCTCAAATTTATAATATGCTGATGCTGTCAGAAGGTGATTACTGCTAGCTTCATAATGAGCAAGACACAGAGGGAGTCTCCTCCCCTGTAACCTGTGTATCCAGTCAAGTTGTGACCTAGGCAGGTTACATACCTTAGTCCTGAAATAAAATAAATAATGTGTGGCCCTTGGTCTCCTGACAAGTTGTTAAAAGTGATTCTTCTGGGTATCCAAAGTTATCTAAGTATGCAATCCTGCTTATTAAAGTCATGGAAGTCTTGCTATGCTTTTCACTGTGGGCAGGGTTGAACTGTAGATGTATTTATATATATATTTGCATATGATATATATTTGCATATGATAGAAATATCATCATATCAGAAAATATTTTAGAACTTGACAAACTCTTAAACTTTTTCCCTAGAATTTGTAATGGCACTAAGCCAAAGCATATATCCCCTTACTCTAACCCAAGGGCATGCAATTATTTTGGGCAGAGGGCCGCTAACTGAATTTTGGCAAGCTATTGAGGGTCGCATGACAGGCAGCCAGGGACAGATAAATATGAATTTTCTAAATGTTTTAGGGGCCCTGTGGGACGGATAGAATGGCCTGGCAGGCTGCATCTGGCCCCCAGGCCACATTTTGCCCACCCGTGCTGTAACCATAACTATGATTCACAGCCATTGAAGGCAACAGGCCAGATTCCCATCACGCTGGACTTATACTAGTGTGAATTTCTCCGTTAAGATGCTTTCATTTACACTGGTTTAAATCTGAATTAATGCAACAGAAATCAGTAGAGTTACAATGATGTAAATGAAAGAAAAATCCAGCCCAGTCTTTTAGCTTTATGGTGATAAAGCACTTTGTTACAATAAAACTAATGCAATAACTACTGGAAAAGGTAAACTAAATGTTGTTTGCCTAGAACAACTTGGGTCCAAAATCTGATATTGTTATTCAAGTTGAATAGTACATTAACTATAATCAGTTTCTACAAGGAGTGAAGTACTAAAATGAGAAAGACTAGGAGAATCTGAGTCTTAAGGAAGAAACTTAGTTATGAACAGTATGTCAGAATAACACAGGTGGAGATAGAAGCTTCCCAGTCTGCATAGTAACATGATATTTGTAGCAGGATGGCTTGTGATGGGTGTTGCTGGATGGGTAAGTTTAAATTTAGAGTGGTTACAGCTACAGTGCACTTAGATGTGAGCAGGCCAGATCATGTGTTTAACACTTATTTTGCATGGCAAGTCAAAACTTTCTTTTAAAGGAAACGTCTTAAAATGTGCCCAAAGACATAAACACCTGAGTAAAGGGAGCTTAAATATATTCTTCAAAATGTCATATTCTTGTATCAAACTTTTAGCTGTTCCTTCAAACATTTTCTTTGCAGGTTTGGCAGCCTGCTGCTGTCTCTCCATCCTGCTGTGGCTAGAACAGGGGCAGAGCAAGCTCCTTCAGTGCCCTGGATAGAGTGTGTGTGTGTGGGGGGTGGACTAGGGGTGGTATTATGCGGACCACTGGGATACTGGGC